GCTTTGGTGGACTTCCTCAAAATGGTATCCCACATTGCAGGCAGTGCTCCGGCAGGGACCAACAGCGCCGCGGCGAGCAGGGCCACACACGTTCTTCCTCGAGGGCGCGCCATCCTGGAGTGTGCTGCGCCACCTCAATCGGACGCCCCATTGGGCGGCGAGCTCTTTACGTACCGCCTTGCTTCCCTCGTCAAAGGGCCCTGGCCATGGACTGTCATCACAGTCACTAGTGCCGTGAATGTCGTGACGTGTTGCTGCCAGGACGTATAGATCCATCCGAGACTGGTGCGCAGCGCTGCTGAATCGAAGGAAGGCACACACAGTGGCGTGCTCAAAAAGGGGGCATGGTCCGACACCCCACTCCCCCTTCAAAATTTCCGCGCACGCCACTGCATTGACACTGGGAACGCCGGAATGATGTCACGGTAATAATATTTCCCCACTGTGTTCCAGTCCGGCGCGCTTCCGACCGGAAATCGGCACCCTGACGATTAATCAGCCCCTTCATTGCAACAGCAGTGGGCGTCGAGGGGAGGGGCGGGAAAAGGACGGGGAGACCGGAGATGGACGCGGAAATGGCTTTTGCCGTTCGCTGCATGTTAATCTGCATCCTAATTATTAGGTAAGCTTTTTCGAAACTGAAAAATGTTCCCGCTGCTGCTTCACTGACCGTACTTCTGCGCCTTTCTTCTAGTTAAAGATGGGACAGAACTGTCGAGAAACAAACACAACACTTTCATTCCAGGGAACGTGACATCACGTTCAAAAGAATGTGACAGAATGTCACGATCGTTTGAATGAATAAGTTGCTTAATTGCTGATTCTCATCCAACCTAATGTAAGACAATGCTCAAAGGAACGAGACATTTTATCACCGTTCTGATGTGATGTCACGTTCCTGGAATGAGTCCTACCCCACTGGTATAAAAAAAGGCATAGAAACTACGCCCTCGACTACGCCCGCAGGCTGTCATGCTCCTTCTGGCGTCCTGAAAGTTGTATTTGCGAGTACATTGAATCTCGACAATTGCATCACTTCATAGAACGAAGGCCAGCCCAGTGTACGCGAAGCTTTGACCAAAAGCAGTGACCAAAATGGCCCGATGACTTTTAGAAAAGTGTATTCTTGCAGATGAAAACATCATGGAATGTCATCAGTTGCTCACATAGTCACAATTAAAATTAAAAAAAAAACAGAACAATTTGATAGAAGAATAACAGTGGGATTTTTGTCCGGGGAGGGGAGGCGAAACGGAGAAGGCGGGCCGGAAAGCAAATGCAGGGAATGCATGAAAAATTCAAAACGTGCCTGCATTGTTTGTTTTCCTTGTGTTGACGGCGTCGTCGTCCGCCCATACCAAGACTGGCCCGCCAACAGCCACGCCACACTAAATTTCTTATGAAGTCAGGCTGCGCAGTTTGCTATCATGTGACGATGCAAACGTCGCTCGTAACACACTGGGGAACTTTTGAGGAAATTCTACGTACTATCGATGCTTGAACGAATTTAATGAGGTGAAAATGTCAGTGTACCCGGAGGAGGAAAAGGGGGGAAGGGGGAACTGCTAACTCGCGACAGATCCTATACTAGCCTAACTCAGGGCAGATAACGGCAAAGGACTCGACAGCCATCATACGAAGGTTTTGCACCATGATAGGGTCTATTGGGGGTAATTTTGGGACTCGGGGCTAAAATGGAAAAGCTCTTTCTTAGGAAAGATTGATACTTATGAACTCATGCCATACCAACAATGCCAAGGCATCACATTTGGTATGGCGTGACTTCTTGAATGTCAAGCCTTGTCCAAGAAACAGCTGCCCCAGTTTCATCCCGTGTCCCAACATAACCCAAACCGACCGTACATTAAGACATTGCCTTGCAGCCGACACGAGTTAGCCTCTGCCACGTCACGGAAAACGACGAGCCACGCCTCCTTGAGGAAGGACACAGACCGACCTCTCATTTGGAGGCATGCATTTGACATCACTGTTTGCCGAGAAGAGACTCGATGGCTTCCCGGCCGTGGAAAAGACGTGGCGCGTGGAGGCTCCGCGGCCACGCGGCCACAGTTTTTCGAGGTGGGCCTGGAGTTGCCACACAGTATGTCGAGAAGGCCCTTTCGGGTTGCATTCGCTCTGGACACCATGAAGCTCACGGCGACGGAGGAGAAGGGGGCGGGTGCGCACGCTCTAGCTTGAGGGGTCCTGTTCAAAAGATCTTATCTGGGCGTTCCCCCCAAGAGAATGTTATCTTAAACGCAATCGAACTTCTTTCCGTTTGACCATTGCACGGTAAAAAAGTAGAGATGCAAATTTTCCGGAAACTTTCAAAGGGTCGGAAAAAACCGGGAAAAGTTGGAAAAAAAACCCAGAAAATTTGGAAAAAAAGGAAAAATAGGAAAAATTAGTTTTTAAGCACTATGAACATGAAACCAACCACTTTTGTGCTTTTTTACAACTTTACCTATACTGACAACCCGAGATTAACAACAGCAAGCTCAAAAAACGCACGAGAAGGAGTTATAACAGGGTATAAGTAGTTTGAGTGCACTGAGAATCGTGTTCACAGTAGGGTGAAAGGTATGCTTTTAGCCTACTTTCAGGCGAAATGCCCGACTTTTTGCCTACTTTTCAGGCTGAATCTTTCCAATTTTTCCGAGGCCAGGGAAAAAAACGGAAAAAAACACTGTTTTTTTCCAATGTTTCCGGAAACTTTCCGGGCATTTTCATCCCTATAAAAAAGGAACCTGGTTTTCACAGGAACTCCCAGGAAATCGCCTGTGTCTCCACCATAGGCTTCCTGGGAAAACCAGGTTCCGTTTTAACCGTGTGGGGACGGATACGAGAGAAAGCGGAATATATTTCTACATGCATTATTGGTTTCTTTGATCTTTCACCTTCAGATTGAAGTCACAAATTATATTGATTCATACCTGTATCAAATGATCAAACTGAGTGAAATTCGCCTGCATTTAAAGATAAGATTCTCTAGGAGAAACGCCCAGATATATGAAATTTGAGCCGTGTTACGCAGTGAATACGACGCAAGTACGAAGCAAAATTTCTCCGCAATGGCTACAAATCATTTTTTAAGTTTCCATTAAGGGGGCACACCAGTGAAAATGCAGAGGTTTCGAAAAACGATCATTCTGAGAAAAGTAATCTATGTATTCGATTGATATTTTATTCTTGGTTCAAAATTATGTCAAAGAAAAGGAAAATCAGTATGGCAGGGCGGGGTGGCGATGGCAAGACGGAGCGCCAGTGCAGTAAATTTTTCTGCGACCTTGCTTCACTCCTGCCACGATTCCGCCTCTCTGGATTGAGCCACGAGCACGGGATTTGAAAATTTCTCAACAGGACACATGTGGCTATGGTCTGAACCACGGGCGTGCAAAAAGAATGATTTTGAATTTGTTTTTTCAAAAGGCAAAAATAGAAACAAATTTTTTAACCAATTTTTTCGCGCTTTCATGGCTGCAGCTCACGTCCTATTTATGGGATGGCCATTTCCGAGGTTCAGACCATAGCCGCAAGTTTAAGAAACATTTTGCCGCAAACCGCATTTAATTATCTTCATTTTTGCGCCCGTGAGAGTGGCACAAAGATACAAAAACGGTGTTTTGAGAAAAAGCCCTTTAAGTAGAAACATAGATTTGACGTGATTTTTCGGATTATAAATGCGCTTTTTGACGTATTTTAGTTCAGTTTGCGCCAAAATGTTCCTCTTTTCAACTGCTTTTGGGTGGTTCAAAGGTTTTGTAATTGAACTTCAAGTGAAAAACCTGAACGTTAACAATTGGTCTAAAATATGCAAAAATAATTACCTTTTTAGCAACTTTAAAAATGTGCACAAGCCAAAGTAATTGGAATTTTGGGGTCGGGTTTGCGGCCTTCAACTCGGGATGAATAGCAGAAAATTAAGAGAAAATAAAAAAGAAGGCAAAAATTTGACGATTTTCACTGGTGTGCCCCCTTAACATACAAAGAAAAACATTCGTCATACGAGGGGAAACTGCATTCGTATTACAGTACTTGCGCCGTTTTCTACATATAAGGGAAAATATCTTCTTAAAACATGGAAAGTGTACAATCGCTGTGAAACCAAGTGTGGAGAATTCGACACTTGAAATGTGCACGTGTAGAAATTTCAGTGTCCACACGTGGAGGTGCAGAGTTAGCAGTCTCCACACTTGAAGCGTGGATTTCTCCCCGTTTGCACCACGCACAGAGACAGGGGCTCTGTGACGAGGGGTGAATCACTCGGCGTTCTGATGTACACATAAGTACCGAGGGGGTAAACACTTCAAGAAATCGTGTACAGACTACTCGGTATTAAGCTGTATTACGGATGTATTACACGCGATTACACGTTACGGCCTTAAAATGCAAAAATTTGGCACATTTGACCCGAAAAAGGTATTACGACCACGTGCATTACGCGTAATACACGGCGTGTACAGGGTATTACGCGAGTGGTTACCCCCTCGATGAGTACATGAGTACGGATGAGTACATCATATTTTACTCATAAATTTCACATTTGTGAACGTTTTAAGGCTTTATTTAGCGTTTTAAACGGCACTCAACGCCAAATCGGCCGAAGAACTGGCGAATTTTGACCCTTTTTAACTTGTGAGTACACTGAGTACGGGCTAATTTGTACACATGAGTACACTAGTGAGTCATACCCTCGCTCTGTGAGGTACTCCTCACTCGCAGAGAGGAGACTGCAGGCTCCACACGACCAAGTGTGAAGGATTACTCCGCAGTGTTGCGTTCTCCACACTTGCTTTGACTGTGAAGGAATTCAGAGGGCGTGTTATCCGCAGCTCGATCCACCACCGTCTTCGCCAACAACATTCGCCTCATGAGGCTGACCGGGTTTTGGCGCCATGCAACAGTGTACGAGGGCGACGAGCGCTTTCCCACGTCCAAGAAGCCTGCGACGTGCGTGCCACTGGGAAACCGTGGAGAACCCCTCCCTTTCAAAGGCGGAAATGTGGAATTTGCAGTTGATTGACACTGGAAGTGCAGAGTTTGCGGTCTGCACACTTTTGGAGTTCTCCACGTTTGCACCTGCCAAGAAGAGATGGGCAAGGGGAAATAACTCCAGCCAAATTTGTTCACCAAAATTCATCAAATATGTAAAACTCACTAAAATCCATTGAAACTCATCAAAATTCGCCTAAAATTCTTCTAAATTCGACTGAAATTCTTCAAAGTTTGACTGAAATTCATCGAAATTTGACTGAAATTCATTGGATTGGTACACCGAAATTCACTGTGGTTTCCCCTTGGAGATAGGCCACTTCACACTTCACTGGTAAAACTAAAGCGTAACTCTATGCTTGAGTCAAGCATAAAGTTACGCTTGAAGACGTTACGCTTGAAATGAAGCATACTCTGGTAATTCCCCCATGCATTTAGATAGGGGGAATCTTGGCGGTTGGGCCTGTTAGGTAGGGCTGTGCGGTTAACCGGTTAACCGGTTAATTTTCCGGTTATTTTCACTAACCGGTTTTTCGGTTAAAGATTTTTGAATTAACCGGTTATAGGTGTAACCGGTTAATATCAATTAACCGTTCCCTGCATAACCGGTTATCAGGTTAACCGGTTATTCTGGTTGACTGGAGGGCAGACGTCGCCCTCCCTTGCAGAGAGTACCCGGTAAAACGGGTGCCCCTAACTGAATCTGAGCAGCTATTCAGCCAGGATAGACTAGTTTTAAAACTTTTGCGAGCGTTTCTTTCGGGGGAGCATACAAAACAGCTCATTTTCGTGTCTGCAATCGAAAAGAGTTCATCAAAACCGTGGATTTTGTAGCCCGATTTATCAGCCATAAAACTGCAGTGTTTTCAAAATGTATATTCTATTACTCTTAACTCTATCTGAAAAAAATAACCGGTTATTCGATAATGACCGGTTATTTTCAAATAACCGGTTATTCCAAAATAACCGGTTAGTTTGAAATAACCGGTTAAAAAATAATAACCGATAACCAGTAGAAAAACGGTTAATTTCAGTAACCGTTAACCGGTTTTAAAATCCAGTAACCGCCCAGCCCTACTGTTAGGTTTGATTTCAAGCGTAACCTGATTACGCTTGAAAACAGAGGGTAATACTACGCTTTAGTTTTACCTGTGTTGAAGTGTGGGGACTGCAAACTTCACACGTCCAAGTGCGGGGAATAACCCCAGCACGTGTGACAATACACTTGGTTTGATTGACAGCGTGGCGACAGCGCAGCGCACCTACTTCAATCTCAACGTGGCCGTCAACGTGGTCTTCCTGTCGGCCAAGCTGATGCACTCGGCCTTGGACACGGGCAGCATCCGCCGCGTGACGGAGAACCTGAGTGACGTGCTGTGCATCGCCTTCAGCGTGCTGCAGCTCCTCGTGCTCGTCGACTCCGAGGAGCAGGTCAAGGCCGTGCTGCGCAGGGTGAGCGAGAGGCGGGGGTGTACAGTGTAGGCACACGCTCAATGTGAACGTGCAATTTCGAACGTGGAGATGTGTACCGCTCAGCATACACTTGTGCTCAAATTGGCATAAAGTTATGCTTCTTTGCGCATATAATGCAAAATCCATGGATGCATAAAATCTTTCAAGCTACACGCACAACAGTCTACAAAAACATTAAGTGTGACTTCAATCACTGAGAATGAAAGAGCCACCACCATAGCCCTTTCATTTGGTGACACGCACCCCGTCGCCCAATTTCGGTTGACAAGTCAGTGGTGACGTAATTTTGGGCAGTCAAAAATTCATCGCCCAAATTTGAGTTACGGACACAGGGGGGATCATCATTGTGGATCCCGGAGGACATCATAGGGAACCTCACAACGTGGCCGACGACGTCACTCTAATTTGTTACCAAATTTCGGGTGATGAATTCATCGTTACCCAAAGATGAGCAACGAAGTTGCATCATCCCACGAAAGGGTGATGGTGCACTCTGAGAAAAAATGACGGTAAATCCTGGATAATTTTTTTGCCAAACTCTACCGTACTTCAAAAACCAGTATCCACCGTACAGTCTACAGTACCGTACTTGTTTTACAAAATATTCCGTAGTTTTTTTAACAGAAGTTACCGTTCTTTCGTACAGTCCATGCCGTAGGAAGGACTAATTCTGGTCCCAACAAAGGCCGCTCCCAAGAATTGTCCACATCAGGATCTTGAAAAAAGGGGGTCGACGACTGAAAAATTTTATTGCACCTTTCGATAGGTCTCGTCAAGACCTTTTCAACGAGTGGTCGGAAGGGAGGCCTAGGAGTCCGACTTCAGCAGTTACGTACATCAGGATCTTGAAAAACAAGGGTCGACCGGCTGATAAAATTATAGCAGTTTTTGATAGGTATTAAAAGTACGGGATTGCTGGGTAAAAAAGTACGGGATTCCCTGTAAAAAAAGTACGGCGTTGCCTGTAAAATAAGTACGGTATTGCCTGAAAAAAAAACGACGGTATTGCCTGTTAAAAAAAGTACGGTGAAGCCTGGAGTAATCAGTACAGGATTTACCGTGATCTTTTCTCGCAGTGTGGTGACTCATTCATTCTCAGTGTAAAGTTTGGTGCAGGCATGCATTAGATACTTTTGTTAAATGACTGTGACGACATAGTTGGAATGTGAATTTTGTCACGTTCGTTCAAATATACGATTTCGTTTGAACGTGACACGGCGTTTAATTAAGATATCAGGATGTCACATTCATTGGGTTGGATTGTCGATTTCAAAGAAGTTGGAGTCGCATGTCGAAATCGTCTGAAGACAGGTGAAGCCTGTTACGACAAGACACGGTCTGACGTACATCCGCACCTTGTACGTGGGTCAATCGTTCCGTAACAGTAAGCGTAAGTGTCGTCGTAGCCAAAAACGTTCCAAATTTGACCTATTTTCTCGCTACACTTATAGATGATTTCGGGGCTATACACTACGTAATAGGGTACTTTCGTAGATCCTGAACCGGAAGCAAGCAGACGCCATATTGGCCGGAACCTAACCTTTCTTCGGATCTAAAACTATAGCCGAGCTGTACAAATATTGCTCGCGAAACACATATAGCACTGCAAATAAGTATCAAACGACTGTTAATGTTCAAGTGTGGCCGATACGTTTGACCGTCTCTTTCCCATCTCAAGTTTTGATCTCACGGTAAAAACGGTACCTGGTTTTCCCAGGAAGCCTATGGTGGAGACATAGGCGATTTCCAGGGAGTTCCTGGGAAAACCAGGTTCCGTTTTTACCGTGCTACTTCCGCCAACATGGCGTCTGTGTGGTTCCGGTTTAGGATCTACGAAAGTACCCTATAGACGAAACAGTCCGATCACGTATTGTGAAACCAAGTGGGAACTACCTTCCTCATGCAGCGGTGCAGAGTAATCCCTGAATATTGTTCGTTTCGAGTTTGGATCGAGTATTCGCACTTCCGCGTGCAGAGGCAACAAAAAAATCACACTAATCCGCATTTTAACTGTGGGCACTGCTAGGAAAAAACACCACAAGGTACAAAAATACCCGGCAATTTTTTATCGGGAAAAAACTACACTCTCTAAGTCCAACAGATGTTGTACAAAGTACAACGGAAAAGGCATGACGAGCGCAGAGCGCAGTCAATTCCAGGCCAATTCGTACAATTCTCGCACTTTCTACAATTCTCGTCGTACTTCTTTTCCACAGCTTTCGTAGTTTTTTTCCTTGTAACTCTTTACAATTCTTCTTGCAGAGGACTTGAGTTCTCCACACTTGCAGTGAGAACGAACTATTATGGGCCTTACAAAGAAAACCAGTTTGTTACAACAAAAAGTACTTTGAGCATACACTCACAAAGAAAATATTCACAAGAAAAGTAACAAACAACGTAATAACAAAGTAAATTAGTTTTTATTATGTATGCTCAAGCTACTTCGAAGGGTGTAAAGAGTGCAGTTTCACCTTGAGTTTCACAGTGGACCGTTTCCTTCCGGCAGATCGACGAGGAGTTCGTCCACGTGTTCCCCGCGGTGTACGGCGCGTGGGAGGGCCGGCTCGCCATGCTGCGGGTGCGGTGGCAGTCGCAGCGCATCGCCAGTATCACCTTCCTTTGCTTCCTGGGCTGCGGCTTCTTCTTCGGCATCATCGCCACCTCCACCAGCAAGAAGAGGAACGCGCTGCCCATCGCCATCTGGACACCCTTCTCGCAGGCACGCTGCTAAACCCATACTAACTATTTTAGCCCTTTCAAAGAAAGGCATAGCTTGTTCCTAGAGAGGTGAAGGCCTTCGGCTAGTGTTCCGGATTGGGTGGGCGGTCAAAACCCGATGACTCCAGAGCGACTCTAGAACTCGGCCGGTGAATGCAGTGCCGCCCGTAGGCACTGCCGACGGGCTAGCTCAGGTCCTACGCTAGCCTGCTGACAGTGTCTGTTGGCGGCACTGCATACACCGGCCGAGTTCTAGAATCGCTCTGGAGTCATCGGGTTTTGACCGCCCACCCAATCCGGAACACTACCTTCGGCCTCGCTGCTGAACTGGATTCTGCTGGATATGGAAATGCATTTCCATAAGTAGTAAATCAAGAAGTTACGCTAGTCTCGACTGATCTTATTAGAGAATTATTGACCTCGGACTATTGACCTTGGACTATTGAACTCGGACTATCGACCTCGGACTATCGACTTCGGACTATGTATACATTTATAGATATAAGATTAAGATCAATAATAAGACACCTATTGTAAAGTAAAAGTATCCGGGAGGGGGGGGGGACAATTTGAACGTATAAATTCCCCAACAGAGTGCTTCCGCTTCGCTTCGCTCCACGGTTAAAACGGTACCTGGTTTTCTCAGGAAGCCTATGGTAGAGATATAAGCGATTTCCAGGGAGTTCCTGGGAAAACCAAGAACCGTTTTTAACGTGTCAACAACAAAGTATTTTGAGCATACATAAGCTTACAAAGAAAATACTTCGCAATTTACGAACTATTTCTTCGTATAACAGAGTTAATCACTGTTAAACTTCGTAAGGTTTTAAGCGTGCAGGGCACGGCGCGCAGACCGGACCAAAGTTGTCACTTTTGCGGCATTGTCTTAGGACTTTCGTGAACCCTGGACCGGGAGCCGTAGTGGTCGGACTACAGTGATCTGAATGTGCCACACACTTCATGTGAAGCATGTGAAGATAGCTTCTGTCATGTTTGCTGCAGGATGACCCCGGCGTTCTGGTCGCGCTGCTGCTGGTGGAAGCGGTGGGCGTGGTGCTCACGGTGGCGGGGTCCGGCTCACTGTCCGCTCTGTTTCTCAGCTGCTTTGTCCTCGTGCGCAATCACTTCCGCGCCGTGCAGGATTGCTTCAGCGCCCTGGTAGGTTCTGCAGTCATCTCCACTCACAACATTACTACATATGTGCATCACTCTTATACCAAGAGTATCGAGAAGCATGGATTCGTAGCCACGTGGCAAAAACGATTCCTGGTTTTCCCAAGGACTCCCGACCCGAGAAACCCCCCCAGTCACCTTCGTACCCTAGCGGTACGCAGGCCAGATCTCCCTTTTCCCCTACGTGCGTTACGTATTCAGGGGGTGTCCCCTAAATTCCTCTTAACTTTTGGTGCATCACTCGTAAAACTGAAGCGTAACTGAATGCTTGGGTCCGATACTCTATGCTTGGGGCAAGCATAAAGTTACGCTCGAAGATCTCACGCAGAACTGCTCGTTGTAATACAAAGTGAACGAAGGCTTCGTAGCCTACGAAGGAAATTGTTTGTAATTCAAAGGAAAAATCCTTTGTAGCCTACGAAGAACTTCGCAGCCTGCGAAGGACTTTTCTATGAATTACAAACAAAATCATTTGAATTACTTGCGATCAGCGATTTCCTTCGTAGGCTGCGAAGCCTCCGTTTTCTTCGTATTTCAACGCGCAGTTCTTTGTAGGATCTGTGCGCTTGAAATCAAGCATACACTAGAAATTCCCCCATGCATTTATATAGGGGTAGTTCAGCATTATCAGTGGTAGCTTTGTACTTTTCTTTCTTCCGGTTCAAGCCACCCCATTGTTTCCCCGTTTTTCACTCTTGAAAGCGCAAAGTATTCTCCGGCTACGAACACTTTTCTGAAATTTTTTCTTCGCATACCCCTAACAGAGAGTTGGCAGTTGCGTTGAAAAATTATGTGTGTATTCAGTCCACACTTAGTTCCCTCTATGTGTGTCCGCAGTACACACTTAAGTTTTCAGTGTGCGAAGAACTTCGTAATGTTGTGAAGAGATGCTATATGACAACGTTGCAAGCAAAGAATTTTCTTCGCTTGTTGCAAAGTAACAGTCCACAATGCATAGAAAATGGTATACAAATGAATGTCCGTCACGCAAATACCGGAGAACATTTCGCAATGACGTTTTAATGGGGCACGATGATTATGGTTGTGCGTCGCGTTTGGCAGGCCGATTCTCTTCCCGACGGAGCGTGGAGTGCGAGGGAGAGGGCGCGAGTAGAGGCGGGCCTCGTGAAGGGCGTGAAGCTGCACCAGGCTGTCTTGAGGTAAGGGCATCCACCAGCCAACCACACTGAAAAACCAAACGTGGTCTAGACCACACCAACTGGTGTGGTCAAATGGGTGCCATTTTGACCGCATCAGTTGGTGTGGTCTAGACCACGTTTGGTGCGAAAGGCCACACCAAAAGTGGTCTAGACCACATCAAACGTGGCCAAACGTGGCCTATACCACACCAACTGATGCGGTCAAAATGGCACCCATTTGACCACACCAGTGGTGTGGTCTACTCACTAAAAAGTTCCCTTCCAAATTTCACTCCCGACAGTGCTAAATTCGCACTTCGCCAGTGCGAACTGCCAAAATCACTCTCGACGGTGCAATCAGCGCTTGTTTGCACTTCTAAGTACGAAAATGGACCCAAAAGTGCTAAGTCGGTGAGTGAGTGCACTTGTAAGTGCAAAAATGTTTCACCTGGGAAAAGTGCGAAGTTTCTCGCCTCTCATTGGTTCCCATGCGGCGCGTAAGTTTAAATTACGCGCGTCAAGGGCACGAAAGTTGTGGGTTTGGCGGGCGAGAACGACCGGTTACCGAAGTTACCGAAGAACCTAACATCGCGAAATATCCCAGGAGTAACTCCACCCCAAGGTGGACCGAGATCTGGGATTGGGTCACGGATTCGGTTCAAACTTTGTGGGTTCAATAGGTACCACTAGGACCTATCAACCCCGAAAAGAAGGTTGGCTAGCTCAAATAGAACCTGAGATATTAGCATTTTTCTAAATTTGACTAATTTAGCGTAAAATTGTCGCTTTCTGATTTTTCTAGGGTAAAAGTTGTTTGCTTAGTTCTGGCTTATGTTTCTTCTTTCTAGTCATAAAAAAAGAAGAAAAATGGTGGTAGGCCAAGTTTTGTACGTTGCTTGGTTTGGCCTTCACGAGCAATTTTGTCGAATTCATCGAAACTCTCATACCCAAAATACTCCACCTTGGATTTGGCCCTGGTACGTCTCATTTCACTTCTTTTACTCTAATAAACAATTGCTATATAGTCCCTAGCACCAACAATTCCGTAAAAGCCGGAAAAATCAAAAACACAATTTTTCAATTTTCTACTTTGACCTATTTTGGGCACTTTTGTCAAGATTAGGGCTTCTACATGATCTTGGGTGACAGGAAAGATCCTCCCTGCCCTCAATTTAGATAGTATCAACACAAACAAAGAGACCCAAACTCAAGTTGCACTAAAAATTTATAAGGAAATTGTTTCGAGCAAATTTTGCAAGTTTACGAGGGGTGTGAAAAATTTAAATCGGAGGAAAATGTAATGCTTCAGCCAAAAGTGGATTTGTGGTTCATTAGTTAGCTTTCTCAAGTAGGTTTGGTGCCCTTTTAACCCTGAGAACGTTCCTACTTGATAATCAGAGTGAAAACCCTGTTTTGGTATGGGGTTGTTGGACTTACGATTTCAACTCATCAACAAAGTAATGATCCATTTATTTAGGTTGCTTGCAATATGTAAGTTCAACCGCTTAGTCTCAATAACTGAGCCTGGTTTCATTTGGTTTGTAAATTTTTGAGACCAGCCAGATGACTAAGACTAAGCGGTTGAACTTACACGTTGCAAGCAACCTTAGTAAATGGATCATTACTTTGTTGATGAGTTGAAATCGTAAGTCCAACAACCCCATACCAAAACAGGGTTTTCACTCTGATTATCAAGGAGGAACATTCTCAGGGTTATAAGGGCACCAAACCTACTTGAGAAAGCTAACTAATGAACCACAAATCCACTTTTGGCTGAAGCATTACATTTTCCTCCGATTTGAATTTTTCACACCCCTCGTAAACTTGCAAAATTTGCTCGAAACAATTTCCTTATAAATTTTTAGTGCAACTTGAGTTTGGGTCTCTTTGTTTGTGTTGATACTATCTAAATTGAGGGCAGGGAGGATCTTTCCTGTCACCCAAGATCATGTAGAAGCCCTAATCTTGACAAAAGTGCCCAAAATAGGTCAAAGTAGAAAATTGAAAAATTGTGTTTTTGATTTTTCCGGCTTTTACGGAATTGTTGGTGCTAGGGACTATATAGCAATTGTTTATTAGAGTAAAAGAAGTGAAATGAGACGTACCAGGGCCAAATCCAAGGTGGAGTATTTTGGGTATGAGAGTTTCGATGAATTCGACAAAATTGCTCGTGAAGGCCAAACCAAGCAACGTACAAAACTTGGCCTACCACCATTTTTCTTCTTTTTTTTATGACTAGAAAGAAGAAACATAAGCCAGAACTAAGCAAACAACTTTTACCCTAGAAAAATCAGAAAGCGACAATTTTACGCTAAATTAGTCAAATTTAGAAAAATGCTAATATCTCAGGTTCCATTTGAGCTAGCCAACCTTCTTTTCGGGGTTGATAGGTCCTAGTGGTACCTATTGAACCCACAAAGTTTGAACCGAATCCGTTACCCAATCCCAAATCTCGGTCCACCTTGGGGTGGAGTTACTCAATTGCACTTCAAAGAGTAAAAATCACACTATTAGGGGGAGGGTTAGCACTTTTGGCGTTTTACACCCTGGTTCCACCTTTGCACTGGGGAGTGCTATCGCCTTACTACTTTGCACTCTGTAGTGCAAAATTAGCACCTCCAGGAGTGGTCCATTTTCGCACTGCGAAAGTGCGAAATTTGCACCACTAGGAGCGAATCAGCTAGAAACTTTTTAGTGAGTAGACCACGTTTGGTTTTTCAGTGCAGTCGCTACCGAACTTCCGCTCCATAACTCCAAAATAAAACTACTTGTTCATTGTAGAGTTGATTCTGGTGATTAAGAAATTCACATGCGCTAATTACATTGTTAAAAATAATCGTAAATTTACGACATTTTGCAGAACAATTCTGTCGATTTTAAACGACAGTTATGACTTCAGTCGTACATTTACGAATCTTCTCGTAAATTTGTGTAATGAATCGTAAATGAACAACACAAATCGTAAACAAGCGAGCAAAGTTGCAACTTTTCATCAACTTTTCGGGGATTTCAGATTTCTAAATATGTAATTGTCGTTACGACATTGTCGTAGAGAAATGATTTTTTAGTCGTTCAGTTACGACGAAGTAGTTGCAGAACGCACTCTCATTCCGGGAACGTGACATCACGTTGAAACGAACGTGACAAAATGTCACATTCGTTGGAGCATTGTGTCACGTTCGTTTGAATGTGAACAAGCTTATTTTTGGCCAATTCACACCCAAACGAATGTGACACAATGCTCCAACGAACGTGACAAAATGTCACATTCGTTTCAACGTGATGTCACGTTCCTGGAATGAGAGTGCGATTTCTGTCGCTATCAAAATTAGTCGCTAATTTACGACAAAATTTCTGACAGTGTATGAAGTATCATGCAGGCTTCTTATTACGCACAAATATGCTTTTCGTGTTGGAGAAATCAACTTTGCAATGCAAAGCATTTCTTCTTTTCGAAATCGTCACTGGTAGCGTAACTCTATGCTTGAGTCAAGCATCAAGTTATGCTTGAACGCGTTATGCTTGAAATGAAGCTTACGAAAGAAATTCTTCTATGCATTCAGAAATGGGGTAATCTTGGCGGATGAGCCTGTTACGCTTGGTTTCAAGAGTAAGCTGATTTCGCTTGAAAACAGAAGGTATTACTACGCTTTACCGGTGTTGAATTTTCTTTTCGTAAGCACAAATCGATGCTTTGTAGAATTTTCACTGGTGCGGTTGACTGGGCTACTTCGCCAATGCTGTGTTCACTGGTAAAACTAAAGCGTAACTCTATTCTTGAGTCAAGCATAAAGTTACGCTTGAAGACGTTACGCTTGAAATCAAGCATAGGCTAGAAATTCCCCCATGCATTTAGATAGGGGAAATCTTGGCGGATGAGCCTGTTACGCTTGATCTCAAGCGTAAACTGATTACGCTTGAAAACAGTGGGCAATACTACGCTTTAGTTTTACCAGTGTATTGCGAGATTTTAGTAATATTCGTTGAAGAGCTGCTTTCTGCATTCGAATTCGTTGTACTCGACAGGACTGATCTTTTCATGCACACTGTTTTGCTGAAATGAACCCGTTGCGAAAGCAGTAACGTTTCGAAACTCAAAAAGTTTCGTAGTCACCCTTGTTTATGGTTTCAGCCCGTAAAGAAATAAGGTTTTAAAATCTCGCGCAACGCGTAGCAACTACTCCGTGTGGTAGGGTCCTTCTCCGTGCTCACTCCAAGTCGAATGCCAACAACGCCCATTACTGGCGGTGTCCGGGTTTCCTTGCCAATAGAAAGGCGGAACAGAAAAATGACTTCGCGTCCACAGTCGTCCGTACCGCTTTCGGGAAGCTTTCCCGCCGTTTCCGTGCTCGACAGAGGGGACGTATTGGGCGGTGAGAGTGTGTGCACCGCCTTCATCGCTCGGTTTGTATGGGTGCGTGATTGGCACACTGCAGATTTCGCCGCCCGTCAATTCTGCCTTGGCAACATCATGTGTACGGCTAGGGGAATAGCCGTATGTGTGCTGCTGACACGTGTGGAGGTCGGGGAGGAGAGGGAGAGAGGGATAGAGAGGGAGAGAGAGAGAGAGAGAGAGAGGGCGTTGACGTGATGCTGTAGCGAGGAGAAGGCCAGACGGGCAAAACGAAAGCGTATTACCCCCTGCTTTATGCTTGAAGTCGAGTGTATCAGGCTCTTGCCTAGATTTCTCCTATCTTAATGCACGGGGGGACTGGGTTTGATTATTCAAGCGCAACATTATGCTTGACTCAAAGCACCAGTCAGCCTCTACACTGTAAAAAGTGATCGGAATTTTGCCATACAGTGGTCTAGCAAAATTCCTATACATGTATAGGAAATACTGATATTCCGATGCATGCATAGGAATTTTCCGATTTGTATAGGTTTTTTGCTATACGGACCGAAAATGTATAGGAAAATTACTATACATGTATAGCAACTGCCAGAAATCCTATTCATGTATAGGAATTTTCCAATACGTGTATAGAATTATGGCTAACTGCTCAAGGGGACTTTGTTGTAAACTGTTAGAACTACAATTGAAATTCTTGTAGCCTGTACAAATATTGGTAATCAGTGTGATTATTAATTCACTTGTGACAAAAGTCGCGAAGCTGCTTCTTTGTTTATAATCCGGATTATCCGCTAGATGGCGCTAGTGTCGTTTTCACGGACTTACTTCTCGGTTGGTGCTGCGGTTGGGAATTTGGTTAGGTGACGAGGCAGACGCTCTCCCGATACGGAAGGAAGTCGGACGTCAACACGACTTTTTCCACAAATTTTGACTAGGACATGTCCTTGCTAACTTGGAGGACAGTTGGTGGTGTCGGACTTCGCCAAAGTGGTGAACTGACTCACCGGACGAGAGGCATCATGGCAAACCGGCGAGAACCATGCCCGTTGAGTAAAATATCTGCCACGATTAACACAGCCTTGCGGCCTGCATAGTTTGCATTTTTTTCTTAAATTGGAGAAATTCTATACATGCATTGCAATTTTGCTATACCGATGTATAGGAAAATTGCCATACAAGTGTGTGGTAATATTCCTATACATGAATATGTGAATTGTTTCATATACATGTATAGGAATTTGACTACAAAAAATTTTTACAGTGTAGTCTTACCAGTGTGGAGGCGGTGCTGACTGAATCTCGGCCTGGTTTTGAGCTTCAGAGTTGCTGAACAGGACCCGGGCCGTGACCCCACCAATGTATTCCTCATTCGGAGAGCAACTCATAAGTGGTCACAGGTTCGGTTCGAGTCCTGTGTAGCGACTCTGGAGCTGAAAACGCGTCGAGAATTTTGGCCGCCTGCTCCGGTCTTCTGGCCCACTGTGCGAGGTGCCCCTGCCCGCAGCCTCGCCGAGGAGCTCTGCCGCGTTCTCGTGCCCTTCCTCACGGTGCAGCTCAGCATCATCGTCTTCCTGATCTGCGTCGCTCTTTTTCAAGTCTCCACGGCAAGTTTCCACTGTTTGCCTGCACAACCGCACAAACTATTTGGGGTTTTACAAGCTTGAAAGTGTAAGTATATTGAGGATACATCAGCTATTCAGCTCTAAACGAAAATAACTTCGCAATTTACGAACTAATTCTTCGTATTACGAACCAAACAGTATGTACCTTACGTGCTCAAAATACTTCGCGATGAAATGTTACGCCTTGTGTTTGTTGTAATTGCTTCCTCGCAAGGTCTGTCGAGGCCTTGCAGCGCTGATGACGATCATCATGACGTGTGCGTGTCTTAGCGTAGACAGCTTCACTGAATGCCTTTCAATGAAATTCAAGCTATGTTACAAAGAACTCGGCGCCAGCGTACTGCCAAGCAAAATTCCTTCATTGTACGAGTACACTCTAAATGTCTTACAATGAAATTTGACCTATGTTATTCGTATGTTACAGTGAATTCAGCGCAAGCATAATACAAAGCAATATTGCTTCGTAATACGAATCTTTTAAGCTTTTTCATTGTAAGATACAAAGAAAAACCTTCGTAATACGAAGAAAAAACCACCTTCGTATTATGCTTGCGCCATTTTCTTCGTATTATGGGAAATTTCTTCGTAAGACATTTAGAGTGTATCTATGGGCTTTTTATTGCACGTTATAAACTCTACGAAGAATCGCATACGAACAAAATGAAGGCATTGCAAAATCTTCGAAGAAATGTTTCGTATTATGAAGGATTCCGAAGCACGATGCCTTCCTTCTTTTTTTAAGTTATGAAGCAAATGCTCCGTAGGCTTTCAAGAGCGTGTAAGATACAAAGAAAAACTGAGGCAACACGAAGTAAAACTATTTCTGCAGCGTCAGTGCAAATGCAAAGGCAATACTTGAGTACATTTTTTGGTGATACAATTGAGTATCGCCAATAAACGGCCTTACGAAAAAGTATTGCCTTCAGAACGGCGATACACAGAAGTATCGCCAAAGTTTGGCGATACTTTGGAGTACTGCGAAAACCACGGCATTAAACTCAGAACTTGTCCCATTGATTTGTTCAACGTTTATTGCCAAATCGTGGCAATACTCCAAAGTATCGCCAAATTTTGGCGATACTTTTGTGTATCGCCGTTTTGAAGGCAATACTTTTCCGTAAGGCCGTTTATTGGCGATACTCGGCCAAAAAAGGAACTAAAAGTATCGCCTTTGGATTTACAGTGCGTGCCTCGCGTCATTTCCTCCGTAATGCCGAAAGTGTCTCGGTAAGACAGTGCTGCGTGTTTGGTCACGGCGGATTGGTGTTTGCAGAACCCGGCCGACGCGGGCAATATCCGCTTCATCATGCTCGCCGCCAACGTCATCGTGCAGGCCTTCGTCTTGTGCTGGATGGGCTCCGGGCTGAGCGACGAGGTGAAACACACTCTGTGAAACCAAGTGCAGAGAGCTACACACGCTTGAAACCCTACTACTCAGGCTTTGAGCATTCATGGCACAAAGTAATTTACTTTGTTAAACGAAGAAATAGTCCGTAAATTACGAAGTATTTTCTTAGAAAACTTATGTGTGCTCAAAGTACTTTGTTATAACAAGCTGCTTAACTTTGTAAGCGGTTTTCTCAGTGCACACTCGTGGAGGCTGCACTCCGGACCAGGAAGGGAGTTTTCGACATTTGGTTTGACAGAGTCCCCGGTCCTCATCCCTTTCCATAATGTGTTCATCGTTCCACTGCCACTCGGCCGCAATATCAGGAAAAGTAGCGAAACACATCTGCAATTTTGGCCCGTCCCGTACATAAAAAAAAAACAGTGAATTTGGCCTAATTTTAACCCAAACGGGATTTGAACCAGAGTCTGGGTGAAAGTATGTTATTTTCGTCATGAACGCCCTTGGAAACATGAGAAACAATGCCAAAAAACGTGAATAAAAAAAAGACGCTTCTCTTGACTCTGCGCTGGGCTTTGACAGGCGTCCGAGGTGCAGACGGGGCTGGATCGGGGGGACTGGCACCTCCAAGGCACGGCCGTGGGGTACGCCGTCAGGTTCGCCATGATGCGCGCGCAGAGGCCTCCCAGCGTCGTGGTGGCGAACAGCAATGCGTGCGTGGGGCTGCCGCTATTCCTGGAGGCACGTCGCTCGAGCCTCCTCTCACTGAGAATGAAAAAGTCATGATCAATACCCAATTTTGGGCGAGGTTCACTTTCTCACCCAAATTTGGGCGAGGAATGTTTCCTCGCCCAATTTGGGCGAGGAAAGATTCCTCGCCCAATTTTGGGCAAGGAAGGGTGTATCAGCTCCCTATATAGCACCATAGTATTATGACCCAAATTTGGGTGAGGAAGAATTCCTCACCCAAAATTTTAGTCATGATCATGACTCTTTCATTCTCAGTGCTGTGAAACCACAGTGGGCCTAGAAGACTGGTGGCGGTGGCCAACCCGTGTTGAGCTCCAGAGTCGCTGAATGGGTCTCTGGAGCTCAAAAAAACGCGTCTATTATTTCGGCTGCCTGGAACGGTTCAATGTCACACTTTGCAACACTAAAGCACAGAAGTACGGAAAAGTCAATTAATTTTTTGATCATGATTCTCCGCACCAAAAAACCAACATTTTCCGTAGCCTCGCATAAATCTGCTCCATAGGACTTACGGTATTCTCCGCATGCCCGCAGACCAATGAGGTGCACGGAGAAGTCTGTAATCCCTCCGGAGAAAATTGACAAGAAGGCTACACCGTCAGAAATTTCCGAGAGAAAAATGGAAAAATCGTGGAGTTTTTCCGAAACTTCTGCATGGAGCTCGCCATAAAGGCAAACTCTGTTTTTTTTTCTGAAAACTTTCGGAATTTTGAACAAAAATGCATGCTTCAATATCAGGAAATCACGACAAAAAAAAGTTTGCAACCAATTAAAAAATGAGGGAAAGGTGAACCCCTATTTATTCAGCTCCGTTTTCATAATACTAAGGGAAACCCACAGGATATAATTCAAAAGAGCTCGAAGGAGATTGTCCCTTCTTTGGCCATTTCAGACTAAAGAATGCTTCGGCGAAGCCCTCTTTATCATATCTAAGAAAATACGCACATTTTACCTCCCATCAGGACCCAAGTAATGCTCCGAAGAACATTTGTTAACGCCCTGAGAAAATCGCTCCGAAAAAAGATGGAAAACGAATGGAGTCTCCATGAACGTGATTATAGAGTTATCCTCCATAAAATTTCAGAACAAATTTCTTACAGTGTACGGAAAATATTGGGTATTGGGTTCTGAGTGCGGAGAATTAACACAAGTTGGTCTCAAATTTCTTGCCAGTGCTGTTTGACAGTGCTGGCCATCCACATCAAATGTTGAGTGCTGGTTTTTTTTACGAGAAGTTGCCCACAGTCATGTTTCACAGTAAAATTTACGTTACAGTGAATTTGGCGCAAGTAAAATTCCTCTTTTAAAGCATTCGATAATTTTTGGTAAGATACGAAGATTAACTTTTTTAAGACTAGGAACAGCTTTCTCCGTATTGTGCATGCGCCATTCCCTTCGTGGAAAGTTGTTTCGTAAGACATTTGCAGTGCATTTTTTTTTCTTGTGCAGAACTTTCCGTACAATCGTATCAAACAGCACGTTTTAGTTTCTACCCAGTTTTGCCTAAAATATAGTACAACCACGTGCGTACTTCGAGTCCATTTGCGCATCTGAAGCGTCTCGTTCAAAATTTGCACTACACTACTTAGGATGCCATTCCAGGCCACACCAACCACACCGACTGCTTGACGAACGTGAACAAAACCCTAACGGATGTGCCATTTTCTGATTCAATTGCAGTTGATTCGCTCTTCGTACTCTCTTCTCGCGTTTCTGCAAAAGAGGGCCACAAGGACGGCTGGAGTGGACTGACCAGAGTGTCTGAAAAGGGCGGCTTTATACAGGGTGAGTTTTTTCGATTTGTCAATAATTTGTCGGAAGCTTCGGCACCCCTAGCGGATCATTTTTGCCAATGAACTAGTGGGCGCAAACGTCTAGTTACTGAGATAATAAGTGTTTTGTAATTTACCTTCGCACCCACGAGGTTGGCTCCCGCCGCCACTGAGGGTGGTGGGACCTCCCGAGTGGGTGTCATGGGACTCGCAGTACTCGAGGGAGTGCCACTGACTTCACGGAGAAACCGTTGAGTCCTGCCACCCTCGCGAAGACAGCCGCGAGATACACTGTTACGCAGGCCACCACGACAGCCACTTGAGACCCTCGGCAACCCCTCTGAAAAGACAATTGAAAGGTCCGCCGCATCCTTGCGACCTTCGTTGCATCCCCGCTAGACCCACGACCAGCCCACGAATTCCTCTCGTGAGGTCCTGTGACCCTCAGTGGCCGCAGGTGCGTATCTAGCAGGTGCGAATGCCAATTTCTAAATATCAATTATCTCCGTACCCAGACGTTTGCGCCCACTAGTTCATCGGTGAAAAAAGATCCTCTCGGGGTGCCTAAGCTACACTCTAAATATGGGGTGCCCAGAAACTGGGCGCCTTTGTCGCCTGCCCCACTTTTCAGGGTGCCAAATGTCGCCCAATGTCTGGGCACCTTTGTCGCCCAGTGGGGTGGACTAATCATGCAGTAACCGGCTCTCTCCCATGGTAGAGCATGCATAGGTGTCTAGTTTCTGGGCGACTAAGGTGCCCAGATTCTGGGCACCTTTGGTACCTTAGTCGCTGCCGGGCCATGGGGGAAGGCAGGTTCCTTCATGGTTTGTCCACCCCGAGACTAGGCGACAAAGGTGCCCAGAAACTGGGCGACATTTGGCACCCTAAAAAGTGGGGCAGGCGACAAAGGCGCCCAGTTTCTGGACACCCTACATTTAGAGTGTACCTACAAATTATTGACACATTGAAAAAACTCACCCTGTAGTTTTTAGCAGATGCACTTTTGTTGAGTTCCAATCTCGATCACTCATTTTGTGACTACTGTGGAACCAAGTGAAGGGAAGTGCGGAGGTGGGTCATTTTCAGGACCCTGGAATTTGGAAGTGCAAGTGCAGATCGTGCAGACTCCGCGCTTAGAGAGAGTGGAGTTCTCCGCGCTTGCACCACACCGAGAGTCGGGGCTTTGTGAGACACTTGGTGGATCCCTTGTAAAAAAGATTGAGTCCGAAAACCGGCCGTAGCGGACAGTCCGTAATGTGGATGGCGGACAGTCCGGAAAGCGGCAGCGGACAGTTCCAGAATCGGGTCGAAATATTGAAAATCCGCGCGATTTCGGACTCTCCGTTACAATCGTGCGGTAGTATTTCGGACTGTCCGAACAGGATCCAGCCCCCCCACCCTTTCCCCCAAATACAGCCTGCCCCCGTCCACCCCACTTCCCCTCAACCCCCGGCACTCCCCTTCCCCCTCCCTCTCCTTCCCCTCCTCACCTTATCTTCCTTGTGCATAAGCTCTGAAGCGCGCTGAGAGTATATTTGGGAAAATGTGGTTGTTAACCAAGGTTTGGGTTAGTTTTGAGATAAGCAAAACATAAGTTTCCTGACCAGCTACACATATGAAGGACACTAATACACAAATAACAGAAAGGCCTGTGTTCTAAAACTTTGTTTGGGAAATTGGTCTCCTGCTACTTACAAAAAATCCGAACGTTGTAACAACTGACATACTAACAACGTCGTGCACACTTGGTTGAAGAATTGCTAAAGGAAGCGGTTCCGAGATAAAGTTCGTCACGGGAAAAGAAACGTAACCAAGTTCACGTATCACAAGTATTGAACCAGCAGTGCGATCTAATATCCAATGAAAGCACTTTGGGGACGAGTGTGAACGGGGAGAGGCGAATAAAATAATACACCTCTCACCCTCTCACGGCCCGTCCCTTTAGTGTTGGGTGATGCTTACAGCAAGCGCAGAGTCACTGGCGTTCCGACCAGCAGCGAACACATCCCACTGAACCACATTTTCCGTCAAACTGCCTCGTTCGCAGCGCGCGCCTGCAGCGCATGGAACCAACATGCACTCAGCGCAGCGCGCGGGGCGAGAGGACAGAGCGCCGCAGGCCAAACGCGATGCGTGCACCTTGGAGGACGGCTGGAGACTGACGTTTGGCGTGCCGAGGCGGCCAAAACTTTCCGAGTTGCCGAAGGATTAACGCTCCCCTCGTCAACGACCAATCAGAGAGCTCCTCTTGCCAGCCCGGCCGGCGGGCCTTTCCTCGAATGCATCGGCAGGGACACTCCGGATCGGTGCCGATCGGACTCTGCCGGACAGTCCGAGACGCAAAGCCGCCCTGCGGCCAAGGCCGGAACTGTCCGCTCCGGACTTCGGACTCAGTACGGCCAAGTCCGAAGGTAAAAAGGAATTGTCCGAGGCGAAAGGAAGATTCTGGAACCGTCCTAGCCAGATTTCGGAACTCATCTGTTCTACAAGGGATTTCCCCACGCTTGGTCTGACAGTGTATGCTCATGTATGTTTACAGCACATGCTTCGAAATGCCTACACTGAGAATGAAAAAGTCATGATCAATACCCAATTTTGGGCGAGGTTTACTTTATCACCCAAATTTGGGCGAGGATTGTTTCCTCGCCCAAATTTGGGTGAGGAAGGGTGTATTAGCTGCCTCTATGGCTCCATAGTATTATGACCCAAATTTGGGCGAGCAACCTTCTTCATCCAAATTTGGGTGATAAGGAATTCCTCGCCCAAAATTTAAGTCATGATCATGACTCTCAGTGTATGTGTGCACAGCAGGCTCTGCCATTCGCGTACGCAGCATTATGCAGTACAGAATCTTTAAATCTAGAATAGAGTATTGGAAATAGAGTATTAAGTAGTATTAAAGTAGTGCGACAAACAAGTCCTGACATTCGTTTTTACTGTGTGGATTCCAGCACTTTCAGAGCCGTGAGTTTGCCTCTCCAACGCTTTCGGCTGCGACGTTCGAGCCAGTCGTCACCTGTCTCACCAAGACGGACACCGACAACGTTCGGCACCTAAGGCACTCTGCTGCTGCCGTTGTAGCGGCTGGGGAGCACGGCAAGCAAAACGTTTCATCAAAGGGAATTTCTTTGTACCAATGAAAAATTTAATCATCTAAGAAGCCCCCAACAAGTTCTTTTGCCCCTTAAAGAGGATTGCCGATGGTCTCTTCGTGTAAAAACTGAACCGTTTTTATTGTGCTTTTCAAAAATGCATGCTTCAATATCAGGAAATCACGACAAAAAAAGTTTGCAACCAATTAAAAAATGAGGGAAAGGTGAACCCCTATTTATTCAGCTCCGTTTTCATAATACTAAGGGAAACCCACAGGATATAATTCAAAAGAGCTCGAAGGAGATTGTCCCTTCTTTGGCCATTTCAGACTAAAGAATGCTTCGGCGAAGCCCTCTTTATCATATCTAAGAAAATACGCACATTTTACCTCCCATCAGGACCCAAGTAATGCTCCGAAGAACATTTGTTAACGCCCTGAGAAAATCGCTCCGAAAAAAGATGGAAAACGAATGGAGTCTCCATGAACGTGATTATAGAGTTATCCTCCATAAAATTTCAGAACAAATTTCTTACAGTGTACGGAAAATATTGGGTATTGGGTTCTGAGTGCGGAGAATTAACACAAGTTGGTCTCAAATTTCTTGCCAGTGCTGTTTGACAGTGCTGGCCATCCACATCAAATGTTGAGTGCTGGTTTTTTTACGAGAAGTTGCCCACAGTCATGTTTCACAGTAAAATTTACGTTACAGTGAATTTGGCGCAAGTAAAATTCCTCTTTTAAAGCATTCGATAATTTTTGGTAAGATACGAAGATTAACTTTTTTAAGACTAGGAACAGCTTTCTCCGTATTGTGCATGCGCCATTCCCTTCGTGGAAAGTTGTTTCGTAAGACATTTGCAGTGCATTTTTTTTTCTTGTGCAGAACTTTCCGTACAATCGTATCAAACAGCACGTTTTAGTTTCTACCCAGTTTTGCCTAAAATATAGTACAACCACGTGCGTACTTCGAGTCCATTTGCGCATCTGAAGCGTCTCGTTCAAAATTTGCACTACACTACTTAGGATGCCATTCCAGGCCACACCAACCACACCGACTGCTTGACGAACGTGAACAAAACCCTAACGGATGTGCCATTTTCTGATTCAATTGCAGTTGATTCGCTCTTCGTACTCTCTTCTCGCGTTTCTGCAAAAGAGGGCCACAAGGACGGCTGGAGTGGACTGACCAGAGTGTCTGAAAAGGGCGGCTTTATACAGGGTGAGTTTTTTCGATTTGTCAATAATTTGTCGGAAGCTTCGGCACCCCTAGCGGATCATTTTTGCCAATGAACTAGTGGGCGCAAACGTCTAGTTACTGAGATAATAAGTGTTTTGTAATTTACCTTCGCACCCACGAGGTTGGCTCCCGCCGCCACTGAGGGTGGTGGGACCTCCCGAGTGGGTGTCATGGGACTCGCAGTACTCGAGGGAGTGCCACTGACTTCACGGAGAAACCGTTGAGTCCTGCCACCCTCGCGAAGACAGCCGCGAGATACACTGTTACGCAGGCCACCACGACAGCCACTTGAGACCCTCGGCAACCCCTCTGAAAAGACAATTGAAAGGTCCGCCGCATCCTTGCGACCTTCGTTGCATCCCCGCTAGACCCACGACCAGCCCACGAATTCCTCTCGTGAGGTCCTGTGACCCTCAGTGGCCGCAGGTGCGTATCTAGCAGGTGCGAATGCCAATTTCTAAATATCAATTATCTCCGTACCCAGACGTTTGCGCCCACTAGTTCATCGGTGAAAAAAGATCCTCTCGGGGTGCCTAAGCTACACTCTAAATATGGGGTGCCCAGAAACTGGGCGCCTTTGTCGCCTGCCCCACTTTTCAGGGTGCCAAATGTCGCCCAATGTCTGGGCACCTTTGTCGCCCAGTGGGGT